GTTGATTCACACTCCTGCAGAAGCACAGCGACCTACAAAGACAAGAAGTTCCTTCACCACAACCATCTCCCAACTACATCGGGAATATCAACAGGCAGCTGCAACTGCTGAAGTGAGAGCTGTTGGGATACAACATTTCACAAAATATTCCGTTTTCATTCCACGAAAAGATCAGTGTGATGTTTGTGTTTCATTCAAGCATGGACATATCAGTAAGGACGAATATGAGGCGCATGTAAACCAGAAAGATGAAGCGAGGCAAGAAAAATGACAAGGATTCTGCGAACAATGAGAAGTTCGTTTGGACGATGGACTTGCAAGCCGTGCTGCTGTGTCCAAAAACCCAAGCCAGCTGCCTGCTTTACAAAACGAAGCTGCAGGTCCATCACTTCACCCTCTTTGACTTGAAATCAAAGGAACGGTACAGCTATAGAGGTCAGAGGGCGACCTCAGAAGGTATTCACACACATTCAATATCGCCATTTTGAAGGTGTGATAAAAGACAATCCAGAAATCAAGGAGATAGTAGTGTGGAGCGATGGTTGCGGTTATCAGAACCGCAATGCAAATGTGGCGAATGCGTTTTCTGAGCTTGCCATGAAATACGGGGTACTAATAACACAGAAGTACCTTGTTGCAGGTCACACACATGGAATGTGACAGCATGCATAGTACCATTGAACGCAAAATGATAACGGATATCATCGTCCCGAGAGACTACTTGATCATACTCCAGACTGCAAGAATCAGACTCTCAGCCTACCAAGTGAAGATGGTCAAGCGCTGGCTCTCACTTCTTAAGCATCAGACCAGCAAAACAGTTGGAGATCCGACTGTACATTATTTGCGGGCTCTTCAGTTTTGCAGTGATGGTAAGGTCAATTACAAGCTATACCACGGCCTGCCGTGAGCTATTGCTTAAGTATAAGTAGTATGTATAAGTTGTAGTATAAGTAGTATATATAGGTTGTAGTATAAGTTGTAGTATAAGTAGTATATATAAGTTGTAGTATAAGTAGTAGTATAAGTTGTAGTATAAGTAGTATATATAGGTTGTAGTATAAGTAGTATATATAGGTTGTAGTATAAGTAGTAGTATATATAAGTTGTAGTATAAGTAGTATGTATAAGTTGTAGTATAAGTTGTAGTATAAGTAGTATATATAGGTTGTAGTATAAGTTGTAGTATAAGTAGTATATATAAGTTGTAGTATAAGTTGTAGTATAAGTAGTATATATAAGTTGTAGTATAAGTAGTATATATAGGTTGTAGTATAAGTAGTAGTATATATAGGTTGTAGTATAAGTAGTAGTATAAGTTGTAGTATATATAGGTTGTAGTATAAGTTGTAGTATAAGTTGTAGTATATATAGGTTGTAGTATAAGTTGTAGTATAAGTTGTAGTATATATAGGTTGTAGTATAAGTAGTAGTATAAGTTGTAGTATATATAGGTTGTAGTATAAGTAGTAGTATAAGTTGTAGTATATATAAGTTGTAGTATAAGTAGTAGTATAAGTTGTAGTATATATAAGTAGTAGTATAAGTTGTAGTATATATAAGTTGTAGTATAAGTAGTAGTATAAGTTGTAGTATATATAAGTAGTATATATAAGTTGTAGTATAAGCAGTATATATAAGTAGTAGTATAAGTAGTAGTATAAGTTGTAGTATATATAAGTAGTATATATAAGTTGTAGTATAAGCAGTATATATAAGTAGTAGTATAAGTAGTAGTATAAGTTGTAGTATATATAGGTTGTAGTATAAGTTGTAGTATAAGCAGTATATATAAGTTGTAGTATAAGTAGTAGTATAAGCAGTATATATAAGTTGTAGTATAAGTAGTAGTATAAGTTGTAGTATATATAGGTTGTAGTATAAGTTGTAGTATAAGCAGTATATATAAGTTGTAGTATAAGTAGTAGTATATAAGTTGTAGTATATAAGTTGTAGTATATAAGTTGTAGTATAAGTAGTAGTATATAAGTTGTAGTATATAAGTTGTAGTATAAGTAGTAGTATAAGTTGTAGTATATATAGGTTGTAGTATAAGTAGTAGTATAAGTTGTAGTATATATAAGTTGTAGTATAAGTAGTAGTATAAGTTGTAGTATATATAAGTTGTAGTATAAGTAGTAGTATAAGTTGTAGTATATATAGGTTGTAGTATAAGTAGTAGTATAAGTTGTAGTATATATAAGTAGTATATATAAGTTGTAGTATAAGCAGTATATATAAGTAGTAGTATAAGTAGTAGTATAAGTTGTAGTATATATAAGTAGTATATATAAGTTGTAGTATAAGCAGTATATATAAGTAGTAGTATAAGTAGTAGTATAAGTTGTAGTATATATAGGTTGTAGTATAAGTTGTAGTATAAGCAGTATATATAAGTTGTAGTATAAGTAGCAGTATAAGCAGTATATATAAGTTGTAGTATAAGTAGTAGTATAAGTTGTAGTATATATAGGTTGTAGTATAAGTTGTAGTATAAGCAGTATATATAAGTTGTAGTATAAGTAGTAGTATATAAGTTGTAGTATATAAGTTGTAGTATATAAGTTGTAGTATAAGTAGTAGTATATAAGTTGTAGTATATAAGTTGTAGTATAAGTAGTAGTATAAGTTGTAGTATATATAGGTTGTAGTATAAGTAGTAGTATAAGTTGTAGTATATATAAGTTGTAGTATAAGTAGTAGTATAAGTTGTAGTATATATAAGTTGTAGTATAAGTAGTAGTATAAGTTGTAGTATATATAGGTTGTAGTATAAGTAGTAGTATAAGTTGTAGTATATATAAGTTGTAGTATAAGTAGTAGTATAAGTTGTAGTATATAAGTTGTAGTATAAGTAGGATACGTGTGGGAGCGCGCTCCTTCACTGCAGACTTTCGCGCCACCTAACCATTCGCCAAAATGTTTTTAATACCAGCGGTAACCGGCCAAGCGCCGGGCAAAAAACAATCTTCGAATAAAAGAAAGTCACCGGAGGAGTTAAAGGAGAGTGACAGGGAGTGGGAGAAGAAGAGGGAGAGGAAGTTTCACACTGGCTTGATGGATGGAGTTGGCTTCAATATGATGATATAAACAAGGTGTTTTGTCAGCTCTGTACATCAATGCCGACCTGCTGACAAGTAAGTGAAGAGTAGAAGATATAAAGGTATTGGCTTCAGGGAGATGTCCCAGCAGGAGAATGAGGGTTATAATTAAGCAATAGCTCACGACAGGCCGTGGTATATGGCCATTATCTCACAGCTGAGGGCGTGGTTCAACCCCCTCAGCTGTGATATAATGAGCATATATCACGGCCTGAAGTGAGCTATTGCTTTTATAAAACGGTTACCAAGTGTGGCAATGTGAAAGAAAAATACACACTCTAATTTAAATAGTTGTTATTATTAAATAATGATGTTCAAAATAAAATAGTCCCTCCGTTGCCTTCTGCACGAAACATAGTGCGAGGTGGTTGCTATGCAACAACACTAACAGCTAGCGAACATATTAGACAGAGAGCGTTGATCCATTATTTGGCTATTTATTTACATTCATGTGTATGTTGCCGTTTATTGTGCAGCCTCTGAAAACCTGTCCAGCATCAGCAGCATGGCTTACGTGGTTACTTGTATAGGCTGAGGTTGTTCTAGGCTGTTCTTTGGCGTGGAGAGAATATTGCTCCACTTTCTCCGGTCCCTGAGATTGGGCTTCCAGTAGCTCTGGAGAGAGCTTTCTCACCTGTGGCCACTAACGCTCATCATTTCTCTGCTTTGTTTCAAGACATCAGAAAGCTTTTGAATGGTGCTACCTTTCCAGTTGGTCTACCTGCTCTTCACGTAGCTCTGCATGTCGTCGTGTAGGTGCTCTCTGGAGATAGGCACTGCTCAATCCACTCCTCCATAGTGAGACCCCCCCCCCCTCAATCCACTCCTCCATAGTGAGACCCCCCCCCCTCAATCCACTCCTCCATAGTGAGACCCCCCCGGAGGTCCAAGTTAACCTTACATGTTTCCATCTTATGCTTTGTAAGTTTGTTTCGTAACGGAAGAAATGTAAATATATTTATAAAACGGACAAGTCAAATCAAGCAATCTGATTGGTCGATAGCGTTTTTGAGGACCTTTTTGATTACAGATTTGAAAACATCGCTGCTTGCTTTAAAAGTAGCACAATTCATTATGTCAAACCTTGGGAAGTATCTAGATACCCCTGCCCTAATGCCAAAGGAACTGCACACTGAATATGTTTTTGCCGTTTGATGTCTATGTCTGGACCGCTGCGTGAAAAGAAGGGTTTCTGCTCCGTTACTTGTTCCAGTTTGAAAAGCAAACTGCCTGCAGTTTGCTTTTCAGCCCAACTGTATACTGTTTATCTCAGACGCGGAGGGATACTGACTTGTTGTGAAAAGTAACTTACAATTCTACCCGTGGTATACGCTCAGTATACCACGGCTAAGAACCAATCAGATTGCTTGATTTGACTTGTCCGTTTTATAATCTAATCTAATACATAGCCATTACATGTCTAACTCCTAATGATGACAGGAAGGCAGAAAGTGCATTATACAAATAATAATACTCATAATAATGATAATAGCAGACATTTTTTAACAATGACCACAATATAATTATTTTAATTAATCAAATATGAACAATTGATGTCTACCCCTGTATATGTAAATGACCTTTATCTATATTTAAAATGAGCAGGCTGGTTTTTCTTGAGGGACAAATTCTTCTGACATCCTGGAGTCCATCTTCCATCCTGAGAACCATCAGTGCTCCTGTGTGTGTGTGTGTGTGTGTGTGTGTGTGTGTGTGTGTGTGTGTGTGTGTGTGTGTGTGTGTGTGTGTGTGTGTGTGTGTGTGTGTGTGTGTGTGTGTGTGTGTGTGTGTGTGTGTGTGTGTGTGTGTGTGTGTGTGTGTGTGTGTGTGTGTGTGTGTGTGTGTGTGTGTGTGTGTGTGTGTGTGTGTGTGTGTGTGTGTGTGTGTGTGTGTGTGTACCTGTGAGTACTGAGTCCGGTGTAGTAGCTCCAGGTCTGGGGGGACGTGGGGAACTGGAAGGTGTAGACCAGGATCAGCACCAGCATGGAGTAAACCACCACGGCTACCCAGAAGCCCCTGAGCATGGCACGCCAACGCTCGTAGTTCAACTACAGAGAGACAGACAGGTGAGAGACAGACAGGTGAGAGACAGACAGTACAGTACCTGCATTACCTGCAGTGCCGTAGTAGAGGGCGCTGCAGCACAGCAGCAGCACCATGTAGATGACCTTGTATTAATACCTGTAGTATGTTGTAGTACCTATATGTTGTAGTACCCATGTTTTAGTACCTGTATGTATTAGTACCTGTAGTACCATGTCTCACCTGGTAGAGGGCGCTGCAGCACAGCAGCTGCACCATGTAGATGACCTTTTATTAGTACCTGTAGTATATGTAGTAGTACCTGTATGTTGTAGTACCTGTAGTATATGTTTTAGTACCTGTATGTATTAGTACCTGTAGTATATGTTTTAGTACCTGCATGTATTAGTACCTGTAGTATATGTAGTAGTACTTGTATGTTGTAGTACCTGTAGTATATGTTTTAGTACCTGTATGTATTAGTACCTGTAGTACCATGTCTCACCTGGTAGAGGGCGCTGCAGCACAGCAGCAGCACCATGTAGATGACCTTGTATTAGTACCTGTAGTATATGTAGTAGTACTTGTATGTTGTAGTACCTGTAGTACCTGTTTTAGTACCTGTATGTATTAGTACCTGTAGTACCATGTCTCACCTGGTAGAGGGCGCTGCAGCACAGCAGCAGCACCATGTAGATGACCTTGTATTAGTACCTGTAGTATATGTAGTAGTACTTGTATGTTGTAGTACCTGTAGTACCTGTTTTAGTACCTGTATGTATTAGTACCTGTAGTACCATGTCTCACCTGGTAGAGGGCGCTGCAGCACAGCAGCAGCACCATGTAGATGACCTTGTATTAGTACCTGTAGTATATGTAGTAGTACTTGTATGTTGTAGTACCTGTAGTACCTGTTTTAGTACCTGTATGTATTAGTACCTGTAGTACCATGTCTCACCTGGTAGAGGGCGCTGCAGCACAGCAGCAGCACCATGTAGATGACCTTGTATTAGTACCTGTAGTATATGTAGTAGTACTTGTATGTTGTAGTACCTGTAGTACCTGTTTTAGTACCTGTATGTATTAGTACCTGTAGTACCATGTCTCACCTGGTAGAGGGCGCTGCAGCACAGCAGCAGCACCATGTAGATGACCTTGTAGAGGACAATCTTCCCCTCGAAGCTCACGAAGAAGAACATGGTTCCACAGACGTAGATCCAGTACTTCACGAACATCCGAGTAACCACGGCAACCAGAGCCTCCATCTTCACCCCCCCCTCCTGCAGGAGCACCTGCTCGTACGAGACCTCACCTGTCTCACCTGTCTCACCCTTCTCCTCGTCTGGAGGGCACACAGACAGACAGGTGAGCCGTGAGACAGGTTAGCATTAAGACACGTGAGAGAGGTGAGCAGTGAGACAGGTGAGCATTGAGGCAGGTGAGACAGGTGAGCAGTGAGACAGGTGAGCATTAAGACACGTGAGAGAGGTGAGCAGTGAGACAGGTGAGAGAGGTGAGCAGTGAGACAGGTGAGACAGGTGAGAGAGGTGAGCATTAAGACAGGTGAGCATTGAGGCAGGTGAGACAGGTGAGCAGTGAGACAGGTGAGCATTAAGACACGTGAGAGAGGTGAGCAGTGAGACAGGTGAGCATTAAGACAGGTGAGAGAGGTGAGCAGTGAGACAGGTGAGACAGGTGAGACAGGTGAGAGAGGTGAGCAGTGAGACAGGTGAGACAGGTGAGAGAGGTGAGCATTAAGACAGGTGAGCATTGAGGCAGGTGAGACAGGTGAGCAGTGAGACAGGTGAGCATTAAGACAGGTGAGAGAGGTGAGCAGTGAGACAGGTGAGACAGGTGAGACAGGTGAGAGAGGTGAGCAGTGAGACAGGTGAGACAGGTGAGACAGGTGAGAGAGGTGAGCATTAAGACAGGTGAGCATTGAGGCAGGTGAGACACGTGAGCAGTGAGACAGGTGTCTTACCCTCCATGTGGACAGTGATGGCAGACAGCTGTGTGTCCTCCTGTCTGTCTCTCTTCTCAGTCAGAGCCTGTCTCAGCAGCAGCCAGAAGCTCAGCAGACACAACAGCTGCAACACAGAGTACACAGAGTACACATCAACACAGAGTACACAGAGTACACATCAACACAGAGTACACAGAGTACACATCAACACAGAGTACACATCAACACAGAGTACACAGAGTACACATCAACACAGAGTACACATCAACACAGAGTACACATCAACACAGAGTACACATCAACACAGAGTACACAGAGTACACATCAACACAGAGTACACAGAGTACACATCAACACAGAGTACACAGAGTACACATCAACACAGAGTACACAGAGTACACATCAACACAGAGTACACATCAACACAGAGTACACAGAGTACACATCAACACAGAGTACACATCAACACAGAGTACACAGAGTACACATCAACACAGAGTACACAGAGTACACAGAGTACACATCAACACAGAGTACACATCAACACAGAGTACACAGAGTACACAGAGTACACATCAACACAGAGTACATATCAACACAGAGTACACAGAGTACACATCAACACAGAGTACACATCAACACAGAGTACACAGAGTACATATCAACACAGAGTACACATCAACACAGAGTACACATCAACACAGAGTACACATCAACACAGAGTACACAGAGTACACATCAACACAGAGTACACATCAACACAGAGTACACAGAGTACACATCAACACAGAGTACATATCAACACAGAGTACACAGAGTACATATCAACACAGAGTACACATCAACACAGAGTACACAGAGTACACATCAACACAGAGTACATATCAACACAGAGTACACAGAGTACACATCAACACAGAGTACACAGAGTACACATCAACACAGAGTACACAGAGTACACATCAACACAGAGTACACAGAGTACATATCAACACAGAGTACACATCAACACAGAGTACACAGAGTACACATCAACACAGAGTACACATCAACACAGAGTACACAGAGTACACAGAGTACACAGAGTACACATCAACACAGAGTACACATCAACACAGAGTACACAGAGTACATATCAACACAGAGTACACATCAACACAGAGTACACAGAGTACATATCAACACAGAGTACACATCAACACAGAGTACACAGAGTACACATCAACACAGAGTACACATCAACACAGAGTACACAGAGTACACAGAGTACACATCAACACAGAGTACACATCAACACAGAGTACACAGAGTACACATCAACACAGAGTACATATCAACACAGAGTACACAGAGTACATATCAACACAGAGTACACATCAACACAGAGTACACAGAGTACACATCAACACAGAGTACACATCAACACAGAGTACACAGAGTACATATCAACACAGAGTACACATCAACACAGAGTACACATCAACACATCAACACAGAGTACACAGAGTACACAGAGTACACATCAACACAGAGTACATATCAACACAGAGTACACAGAGTACACATCAACACAGAGTACACATCAACACAGAGTACACAGAGTACACAGAGTACACATCAACACAGAGTACATATCAACACAGAGTACACAGAGTACACATCAACACAGAGTACACAGAGTACATATCAACACAGAGTACACATCAACACAGAGTACACAGAGTACACATCAACACAGAGTACACATCCACACAGAGTACACAGAGTACACATCAACACAGAGTACACATCAACACAGAGTACACAGAGTACACATCCACACAGAGTACACATCAACACAGAGTACACAGAGTACACATCAACACAGAGTACACATCAACACAGAGTACACATCCACACAGAGTACACATCAACACAGAGTACACATCAACACAGAGTACACAGAGTACACATCCACACAGAGTACACATCAACACAGAGTACACATCAACACAGAGTACACAGAGTACACATCCACACAGAGTACACATCACACAGAGTACACATCAACACAGAGTACACAGAGTACACATCCACACAGAGTACACATCCACACAGAGTACACAGAGTACACATCCACACAGAGTACACATCAACACAGAGTACACAGAGTACACAGAGTACACATCAACACAGAGTACACATCCACACAGAGTACACATCAACACAGAGTACACATCAACACAGAGTACACAGAGTACACAGAGTACACAGAGTACACATCCACACAGAGTACACATCAACACAGAGTACACAGAGTACACATCAACACAGAGTACACAGAGTACACATCCACACAGAGTACACATCAACACAGAGTACACATCAACACAGAGTACACAGAGTACACATCAACACAGAGTACACATCAACACAGAGTACACAGAGTACACATCCACACAGAGTACACATCAACACAGAGTACACATCAACACAGAGTACACAGAGTACACATCAACACAGAGTACACATCAACACAGAGTACACAGAGTACACATCAACACAGAGTACACAGAGTACACATCAACACAGAGTACACATCAACACAGAGTACACAGAGTACACATCAACACAGAGTACACAGAGTACACATCAACACAGAGTACACAGAGTACACATCAACACAGAGTACACAGAGTACACACACACAGAGTACACATCAACACAGAGTACACATCAACACAGAGTACACAGAGTACACATCAACACAGAGTACACATCAACACAGAGTACACAGAGTACACATCAACACAGAGTACACAGAGTACACATCAACACAGAGTACACATCAACACAGAGTACACAGAGTACACATCCACACAGAGTACACATCAACACAGAGTACACAGAGTACACATCAACACAGAGTACACAGAGTACACATCAACACAGAGTACACAGAGTACACATCAACACAGAGTACACATCAACACAGAGTACACAGAGTACACACACACAGAGTACACAGAGTACACATCAAACAGAGTACACATCAACACAGAGTACACAGAGTACACATCAACACAGAGTACACAGAGTACACATCAACACAGAGTACACAGAGTACACATCAACACAGAGTACACATCAACACAGAGTACACAGAGTACACATCAACACAGAGTACACATCAACACAGAGTACACAGAGTACACATCCACACAGAGTACACAGAGTACACAGAGTACACATCAACACAGAGTACACAGAGTACACATCAACACAGAGTACACATCAACACAGAGTACACAGAGTACACATCAACACAGAGTACACAGAGTACACATCAACACAGAGTACACAGAGTACACATCAACACAGAATACACATCAACACAGAGTACACAGAGTACACATCCACACAGAGTACACACACATCAACACAGAGTACACATCAACACAGAGTACACATCAACACAGAGTACACAGAGTACACATCAACACAGAGTACACATCAACACAGAGTACACAGAGTACACATCAACACAGAGTACACATCAACACAGAGTACACATCAACACAGAGTACACAGAGTACACATCAACACAGATGACACATCAACACAGAGTACACAGAGTACACATCAACACAGAGTACACAGAATACACATCAACACAGAGTACACAGAGTACACATCAACACAGAGTACACAGAGTACACATCAACACAGAATACACATCAACACAGAATACACATCAACACAGAGTACACAGAGTACACATCAACACAGAGTACACATCCACACAGAGTACACAGAGTACACAGAGTACACATCAACACAGAGTACACATCAACACAGAGTACACAGAGTACACATCAACACAGAGTACACATCCACACAGAGTACACAGAGTACACATCAACAAAGAGTACACATCAACACAGAATACACATCCACACAGAGTACACAGAGTACACATCAACAAAGAGTACACATCAACACAGAATACACATCCACACAGAGTACACAGAGTACACATCAACAAAGAGTACACATCCACACAGAGTACACATCAACAAAGAGTACACATCAACACAGAGTACACAGAGTACACATCAACACAGAGTACACATCAACACAGAGTACACAGAGTACACATCAACAAAGAGTACACATCAACACAGAGTACACATCCACACAGAGTACACAGAGTACACATCAACAAAGAGTACACATCAACACAGAGTACACAGAGTACACATCAACAAAGAGTACACATCAACACAGAGTACACAGAGTACACATCAACACAGAGTACACATCAACAAAGAGTACACATCCACACAGAGTACACAGAGTACACATCAACAAAGAGTACACATCAACACAGAGTACACAGAGTACACATCAACACAGAGTACACATCAACACAGAGTACACAGAGTACACATCAACACAGAGTACACAGAATACACAGAGTACACATCAACAAAGAGTACACAGAGTACACATCAACAAAGAGTACACATCAACACAGAGTACACATCAACACAGAGTACACAGAGTACACATCAACACAGAGTACACAGAATACACAGAGTACACATCAACAAAGAGTACACAGAGTACACATCAACACAGAGTACACATCCACACAGAGTACACATCAACAAAGAGTACACAGAGTACACATCAACAAAGAGTACACAGAGTACACATCAACAAAGAGTACACATCAACACAGAGTACACATCAACAAAGAGTACACATCAACAAAGAGTACACATCAACACAGAGTACACATCAACACAGAGTACACATCAACACAGAGTACACAGAGTACACATCAACACAGAGTACACAGAGTACACATCAACACAGAGTACACATCAACACAGAGTACACATCAACACAGAGTACACATCAACACAGAGTACACATCCACACAGAGTACACAGAGTACACATCAACACAGAGTACACAGAGTACACATCAACACAGAGTACACATCAACACAGAGTACACAGAGTAGTAGTAGTATATATAAGTAGTAGTATAAGTTATATTATACGTTGTAGTATATTTAGTAAATATATATATGTAGTAGTAGTAGTGGTATATATAAGTAGAAGTATTGGTACCTTTGAGGCCAGCTCCCTGCAGGGGTCTTGTTTCCGTGGGAACAGCCCAGGCACTTCCTGTGCGGGGGGGAAGCTGTAGATGTACTGCAACAGCACCAGCAGGTTGCCGTAGGCGACCAGCCAGGGCGATGACATCATAGTGTAACGGCGTCGCTCCTTCAGCATCCAGAGCAGGCAGGACCAGAGCAGCAGCACACAGGTGAGCCACGACACGTAGCTGACGGGCCACAGCATCATGGCCATCAGGGCACACAGGTAGCTCTGCTGCAGCAGGAAGCTCCAGGCCCCGCCCCCCTCACCTGGACAGGCCCCGCCCCGCTCACCTGGACAGGCCCCGCCCCGCTCACCTGGACAGGCCCCGCCCCCCTCACCTGGACAGGCCCCGCCCCCCTCACCTGGACAGGCCCCGCCCCGCTCACCTGGACAGGCCCCGCCCCCCTCACCTGGACAGGCCCCGCCCCCCTCACCTGGACTCATCTGAGGCTCCTCCCAGCCGTCTGCACCAAACTCACAGGTCTCCAACGTGTCTGCAGCAGAGGTAGACAGGTGAGACAGGTGAACAGGTGGACAGGTAGACAGGTAGACAGGTGAACAGGTAGACAGGTAGACAGGTGAACAGGTGGACAGGTAGACAGGTGAGCAGGTAGACAGGTAGACAGGTAGACAGGTGAGCAGGTAGACAGGTGAGACAAGTGGACAGGTAGACAGGTGAGCAGGTAGACAGGTGAGAAGGTAGACAGGTGAGACAGGGAAGATGTAGACAGGTGAGCAGGTAGACAGGTGAGCAGGTAGACAGGTGAGCAGGTAGACAGGTGAGCAGGTGATCAGGTAGACAGGTGAGCAGGTAGACAGGTGAGCAGGTAGACAGGTGAGACAGGGGAAGATGTAGACAGGTGAGCAGGTAGACAGGTGAGCAGGTAGACAGGTGAGACAGGGGAAGATGTAGACAGGTGAGCAGGTAGACAGGTGAGCAGGTAGACAGGTGAGCAGGTAGACAGGTGGACAGGTGAACAGGAGAACAGGTGGACAGGTAGACAGGTGAGACAGGTGAGCAGGTAGACAGGTGAGCAGGTAGACAGGTGAACAGGTAGACAGGTGAGCAGGTAGACAGGTGAGCAGGTAGACAGGTGGACAGGTAGACAGGTGAGCAGGTAGACAGGTGAGCAGGTAGACAGGTGGACAGGTAAACAGGAGAACAGGTGGACAGCTCACCTGATTGGCTTGGGGAGTAGTGAGGTGTTGAGTAATTATCTAATCCGAGAGCTGTGCTCTGGGTGGGCGGGGCAAAAGAGTCAGAGGGACTCTGATTGGACGATGTCAGCACCTAGAGACAGAGACACGCTTCAGACTACAGACTGAAATATATTGATGATGATGATAATAATAATAATAACATGTGTTAATATACGTACGTCTCTGCTCCGGTGAGCTCGTCTCCACATGTCTCGCCGTTTCTCCGCTGTGATGTCACCGATGACATCATCGCTCAGGTTGCTGGTGGTGGTGATGATGTCACAGCTCCCACCGACCTCTGACCCCGCCCTCTCTAAGCCCCGCCCACAGTCGATCAGCTGAGGAAACATGTGATCCCCGTCAGTGTTAATTTCGTCAACGAAAACTATGACGAAAAATGTTCGTCAACGACCTTTTTTACATGACTAAGACGAGACGATGACGAGCTAAAAATAGATTCTTGATAACGAACATTTGACGAAATGTATATTTAGTTTTCGTTGACGAGACGAGACGGGACTAAGGTGTTAATGGTGGACTATCGGACATTCAAAATGCAGCATATTTTCCCCCCAAGTGTCCGTCTTGTCTGTCAAAATGCATCTTACATTTCTAACTTGCAATATCATTATTTCCGCTCTCTTCACTCCAGAAGAGCGATCTCCCTCTCTCTCTGTGTGCGGGGGGCGGGGCCTCACTCTCTCTCTGTGTGCGGGGGCGGGGCCTCACTCTCTCCCTGTGTGCGGGGGCGGGGCCTAACAGACACGCTGCACCGGCAGAGATCTGCCGGGGACGGAGCGTTCAGAAGTATAGAGACACTCTACAAGACTCGATGTGGACAAAGCTCGTTTGCCATGTTTTGGCGTTAGCGCGTTGACACGAGTAGTCTGTCCAAACAGCCGGCCAAAAGGCGTCATATTCAGTCGGAGAAATGCACAATTTTCGACTTCCTTAACTCGTAGCTCTGTTGCCCCAATTACGAGTAACGTTATCACATCAGGTGTGCAGAGGTGGGAGAAGTACTCAGATCTTGTAGCTAAGTAAAAAAATACTATAGTGTAGGAAGAGTTCCTCAAGTCAAAGTATGATCATCAAAATATAGTGAAAGTAGCGACAGTAAAAGTAGTCATTGTGCAGATTGGTCCATTTCAGAATAATATATATGATATGTTTTATAAGGATTGATCATGAAAGTGTTCTCAAAGCTGGTAAAGGTGCAGCTAGTTTGAATGACTTTGTATACTGCAGGGTAGCTTGTGGATTTACTCCAGGTGGAACTAAAGTCTGATTTAAGACCTGATTATATTTCACATCATTCATCCACATCTGTGAAGTAACTAAAGGTATTAAATACATGTAGTGGAGTAGAAGTACACCATTTAACTATGAACTGTAGTGGAGTAGAAGTACACAGTAGCAAAACATTTAAATACTCCAGTAAAGTACCTCAACATTTTACTCAAGTACAGTACAATATTTTAACATAATTATATATATTTCATTTATTTCACATTTAAATAAAGCAATTAATTCGGTTAACAATTTGTTAGTTTTTTCCTTTAAAAAATAACAAAAAGTAAATACAAGAATACCGTTAAAGTACCGGATCGATAAGCAGTATTGATAAGACTAGTAGTACCGTAGAAAACCTTAACGATACCCATCCCTAGATATTACAGTAAAGTGTTAAGAGAGTGAAATGTTGCTTTATGAATGTCAACACTTGATGCTGTCACCTTGATTACAATGTCAGAAACCTGTATTTGCCGAACTGAATTAGTTTAAAGAGAGAAAACATTTTGACTAAAAGTAGACTAAAACGTTTTGAGTTTTCGTCGACTAAAACTAGACTAAAACTATGAAGGATACAAATGACTAAAATGTGATTAAAACTAATAACCATTTTCGTCTAAAGACTAAGACTAAGACTAAATCAAAAACAGCTGCCAAAATTAACACTGATCCCCGTCAGCCAATGTGAACCTCTGTAAACAAACACTGAATGCGTCGACCAATGAGAGATGAGATAACACACCTGGTTCCTCCGGAGCGACGCCACTGTGTGGTAGAGAAGCAGAACCATCAGGGGCGAGCTGAAGTGGAACCAGTGGAGGTCAGAGGTCACCGTCAGCCTCCAGGGGTCAACACAGTCCATCGAGACCAGGGGGAGCAGCCCCAGAACACTGTGGGAGGGGCATAACACTATCAGTAACAAACCAGGGGGAGCAGCCCCAGAACACTGTGGGGGGGGGGGGTGCAGGACACTAATGTTAAATCAGTGTTCCCTCAGACCCCCAGCAGTGGGCAACAGACCCCCTGTTCACAGCAACATGTGTTTAGAGAGTAATTATAGAGCAGGTAATTTAGTGGGAATGCTGACACAGCATTCCCACTATCTGTTATGCTATGCACACAATTCTTTATTATTCCGCCGGGTTATTTTGCGCCTCTTCTTCTCCCACATTCCACATCGCAGAAACTCCGTTCAAACATCAAAACGTTCAGCTCGGTCGGGAATCGATGGCTATTACTTTTCCCATTCATAACTTCCATAATTCCAGAGATATATCCCATAATTCATCACATTTTTAACATGGAAGTCAATGGAGAAACTCTTCAGACTTGAACAATCTTCATGCGACTTCAACTGCTAACTGTTCATTCATACTTTCACTCAGAAACCTCATTCCAACTTTAAAATGTTACACATCTTTCTGACATTATTCGTGTTACACAACTTTTAAATCTGATTCGTACTTTTAGAGATATTAAACATTGTTCAGACCTTGGTAAAGAGGCTTTCTTCAGATTTTAGAGTGCATGATGTCACTGCTAGAGTGGAGGACAGATTTAATTTTGCCTTCATATTTTCTTTTAAACCTGCCATAATTCCCAAACCCTACATTCCTGAGAAACGTAGAAAAACATCTCGTAGCTTGAAAAATTAAAAGAAATGAAGCAAAGAATAATTAAACAAAATGCCTCTTGAGGGCATGAAGTGACAACAACTTTCAACATGTCTCCATTAAAGCCCATTGTAAGTTCAGCCTCATCTTTCCCCACCACAGCAGCCGCACACCTTTAGTTAAACTGCCAAAAAGGCCACATTATTAACCTGAAAGTACACCAAAAGTACACTTCAGATACTCAAGTTCCTTGACATGCTTCACGCTTTGAAATTTCACCGATATCTGTTACGGTTCTTCAACAAAACGTTCACATGTAAGAGGTTTATCTCTCATTCAGAACAATGCAAATGCTCTCCTCTCACTGATTACTGCACATCACCATGGAAACCTTTGATCTCTAGACACGTCGTTAGCTCAAATATAAACACCTGTGTCATGGAACACGATGATGTCATAACTCCAACTGACATGCTCAGAGCAGCAGACTTCAGATAATGGTTAATGGTCAACAGCTCTACGTCAATTATGGGGTGTCATCATATGCCGTTTCCATGGAAACGCATCCCTCGCCATAAAACACGATGTCGCTGTAACTCCAATGGACACGGTCCGATCGTCCCCCAAACTTCGCTTGTATATCACCTCTCCATGCCTCAACAGCTCTACGTCAAATCTGACATCTCACCATATGCTGTTTCCATGGAAACGCATCCCTCACCATAAAACACGATGTTGTCGTAACGCCTATGAAAAGGGTCAAAACAGCACCACACTTCAGATAATGGTTAACGGTCCAGCCCTCAACAGCTCTATGTCAATTATGGGGTTTCATCATATGCCGTTTCCATGGAAACGCATCCCTCGCCATAAAAGACGATGTCGCTATAACTCCTATGAAAATGTTCAAAAAGTGCTCAAACTTCACATGTGTGCTAACAGTCCAGCCGTGAAGACATCTACGGGACAGTTTTGAGATTTCTTCAATTGCCGTTGCCATGGCAACACAATGCTCACCATGAAACACGGTTTTCTCATAACTTCAGTGAAAATGCTCCAAATGGCCCAAAACTTCACAGGTTTGGTAACGATGCAGCCATCAACGCATCTAAGCGTATTATGGGATGTCATCAAATGCCGTTGGCATGGCGACAGATCATTCGCCATCAAGTTAGTTCAAAAGTTTGCAGTTCAAATATTCTGCTGCTTTTCCAAGCCTTTTACTTTCTTTTCTTCTCTCATCACACATTCAAGCCCCCAGCGTTCATGTATCATTTCAATCTAAATTATTCACTTTCTTCTTACACATTACATTTCAGCATAGCAGTTTAGCGTCAGCTTTTCAGCATAAAGCATTCCCACGAGCAATTTCTTCAGGAATTGCATTCTCTAGTTATAACCTGCTGTCTTCACTGAACACAGTCTGGGTTCTGTTTTTAGAAAAGCTGGAGCACTTTTATTTTGTAGGCAGAAGAGTAACAAAACAAGAACACCCAAACCCCCCCCCCGGTTACAGACTGAAGAAATATAAGGGATGTGAGACCTTCACTAAGCCATGACTCTGCTGCTCACACTCAACCATTTCATCCTAACAAATATCACTCTGAAGCATTTCTCCAGAAGAGGGTTAGAGCCTGCCTTAGACCAAAAAAACTAAATGTGTTACCTGGTTGAGGTGTGTTACCTGGTGGAAGTTTGTTACCTTGGGGAGGTGTGTTACCTGGTGTGAGTGTGTTGCCTGGCGGAGGTGTGTTACCTGGTAAGGTGTGTGTTACCTGGTGAGAGTTTGTTACCTGATAAGGTGTGTTACCTGGCGGAGTTGTGTTACCTGGTGAGAGTTTGTTACCTTGGGGAGGTGTGTTACCTGGTGGAGGTTTGTTACCTTGTTCAGTTGTGTTACCTGGTGAGAGTTTGTTACCTGGTAAGGTGTGTTACCTGGCGGAGGTGTGTTACCTGGTAGGAGTGTGTTACCTTGTTCAGGTGTGTTACCTGGTGGAGGTTTGTTACCTTGTTCAGTTGTGTTACCTGGTGAGAGTTTGTTACCTGGTAAGGTGTGTTACCTGGCGGAGGTGTGTTACCTGGTAGGAGTGTGTTACCTTGTTCAGGTGTGTTACCTGGTGGAGGTTTGTTACCTTGTTCAGGTGTGTTACCTGGTGTGAGTGTGTTACCTGGCGGAGGTGTGTTACCTGGCGGAGGTGTGTTACCTGGCGGAGGTGCGGTTGGGAGGCCACGCCTCCTGCAGCAGGGGCAGCTGGTAGAAGTAGACGAGCAGGAAGTGGGAGGCGGAGTAGACCAGTGACATCACAGAAACACACCTGAAGAGGAGGGGCGGGACCTGGCCTGACCACGCCCACCAGGTGCACAACAGTTGGAAACAGAGCAGGTAGGGGAGGGACGAGAGAGACGGGAACATGATACCTGGAGAGACAGACAGAGATGACCGTCTCTAAAAAAATCCTCCTCTAGACACAACGTTTGGGACTCTACCAAGTCTTGGGACACCACCTGAGGTTTGGGACACCACCTGCGGTTTGGGACACTACCTGAGGTTTGGGACTCTACCAAGTCTCTGGACACTACCTGAGGTTTGGGACTCTACCAAGTCTCTGGACACCACCTGATGTTTGGGACTCTACCAAGTCTCTGGACACCACCTGATGTTTGGGACTCTACCAAGTCTCTGGACACCACCTGAGGTTTGGGACACTACCTGAGGTTTGTTACTCTACCAAGTCTCTGGACACCACCTGATGTTTGGGACTCTACCAAGTCTCTGGACACCACCTGATGTTTGGGACTCTACCTGATGTTTGTTACTCTACCAAGTCTCTGGACACCACCTGATGTTTGGGACTCTACCAAGTCTCTGGACACCACCTGATGTTTGGGACTCTACCTGAGGTTTGTTACTCTACCAAGTCACTGGACACCACCTGAGGTTTGAGACACCACCTGAGGTTTTGGACACCACCTGAGGTTTGGGACACCACCTGAGGTTTGAGACACCACCAATGCCCCTTTTCCACCAAACCGGATCCGGTTCAAGAACCGTTCTTTTGCTTTTCTGGTGCTGAACTGGTTCTTCTCTGAAGCACCACTTGTGTTTCCACCGCTCAGAGCGCAGTGGAGCTCCAGTGAAGCTGCGTCATTGCGTCATCGTTTGCGTCATCACGTAAACGTTTACGTGCCTTCTTATGACACCCACACGGCGCGGAAATCCCTCACATCGACAACAACAACAATGATCCGGTAGTCCCTCTTGAGTTTTTTTAGCTTCAGAATTTGCCATTTTGTTATTGTTGATCAGGTTAATCCCCCCCACCTCCGACATAAGCGTGATGTATTGGTTCTTGGTTCTTGCTGGGCAGCCGAGTGGGGTCAGCTATGAACCGGTTTTCGGTGCTTAGATCCGTCTCCGCTGCGGTGGAAACAGGAAGAACCAGAGCTGAATTGGCTGTAGCCCGGAACCGGCTCTGGAACCGGCTTGGTGGAAAAGGGGCAAGAGTCTTGGGACACTTGCTGAGGCTTTCTCTGGTTTCTTGGGTTCTAGGGTTACCTGGATCCTGGAGTTACCTGGATCCTGGAGTTACCTGGATTCTAGGGTTACCTGGATTCTAGGGTTACCTCGGTTCTAGGGTTATCTCGGTCCTAGGGT